AAAAACAAAACTCAGTGTGTGTCCTTATTTTTTAGATAACCACATGGAATTCCCAACTCAACCCTCTATACCCATAATTTCACCTCCACTCTTTCTGTTAACTATAGGTGCTAGACAAAGGTTTGAGCTCAGGCCTGATCTTTTCAATGAGAGGTGCTCTATCAACTGGGCTTGAGTGTAGGAAGGGTGAGAAGTAGGCATTTGCTCTTTGATTCTTTCTTCCTTAACCTTTGTTCTATAATATGAGCCTGTTGGGACTCAAGGGAATGGCTACTCAGTCTACTTTGCTAAATGCCAAAAATCTGTGTGATGGTGTGAAGCCAGTTAGTTTGCAGAGTTCACAGTGTTTCATAGGTGTTACATGGTAAAAACAAAGGTCACAAATATTTTTCTCAGTTCAAGGTTTCTTGTTAAAAATCTAAAGGAAATTAATTTGACAATATCCCATTGTAATGATTTTAGTTCACTGAATGACATTTTATTCTACAATAATATAATGAAAAAGAGTGCTTTTGGGATCAGTTAGGCCTAATTCGGGACTACCTGTACTAGGTGTGAGGTTATTGGTAAATATGTTAAGGATTATTTTGCATCTTTTTTTCCCTCAAGAGTAAAATGGCATACTCTTAATGCTTATCTCAGACAGGTATTGAAATAATTAAATAGGGGAAACACAAAAGATTTAGCATGTTAGAAGGCTCTTCCTGCCTCACAGCTGTTTGTTAATTCATAGCAATTCTACTTAAACATGTGAGGCTGAAGGTTAGTAATGATAAACACAGAAGAATAAGAGAGGACAGTAAGTAGAAAGATGGAAATAGAATCCCAGAGATACAATTAATGTTTAAGTAAAATGTTTTCATAGAGAAAAGAAGCAATAGAACTTTAAAGTCGAATCCCTTTTAATCTGATATTTTTAAATCAATTTTTAAAAAATCAATTCAATGAGAGTGGAAATCTGTCATCACTGTGTGGCCAAACTCACTTTTATTTTTAAGTCATACAAATATCATAGTGAGTAGTTAATATTATCTTGAAACTTTGGCATGCTTTACAAATTCCATCTCCTTAGTAATGATGACAGATTTTTGAGTAATTGACCTGTTTGATGGTCTTGGGTTGACAAAGGAACTTGAAATTTTATTTTCCTTGTGAGCTTTTTTGAGCTCACAAATTTCAGTGGTTTTTTAAAAAATTTAAATAATATTCATTGACTGTCATTTTCTACACGACTTAATTCCTACTGGGGGCAGAAAATTTTTTAAGCTTGCAGAGTAACCCAACTGGAGGACAGTTTTCCAGACTTAGGCAGTTCATGCTCTAAGCCCTATATCCTATGGTCACCCATGCAAATGAAATAACTAATTGAGAAAAATAACTGGAGAGACTGATTTTGAAAATACTACATATGAGATAAAAAGATCCTATGGGCTTCAAATATTATTATTATTAAAGATTATTCAGTGTTTAAATTGCTAGTAGTTTGTTTCATAGAAAATATACCAAAATCATTAAAAATTTCTTCCCATATTTTTAAAATAAAAATTTTATTTTAAAATAGTTTAGACTGGGCCGGTGCCACGGCTCAATAGGCTAATCCTCCGCCTTGCAGCGCCGGCATCCAGGGTTCTAGTCCCGGTCGGGGCACCAGATTCTGTCCTGGTTGCCCCTCTTCCAGGCCAGCTCTCTGCTATGGCCCGGGAGTGCAGTGGAGGATGGCCCAAGTGCTTGGGCCCTGTACCCCATGGGAGACCAGGAGAAGCAACTGGCTCCTGGCTTCGGATCAGTGTGGTGCGCCGGCCTTAGTGGCCATTGTGGGGTGAACCAACGGAAAAAGGAAGACCTTTCTCTCTGTCTCTCTCTCTCACTGTCCATTCTGCCTGTCAAAAAATAAAAAATAAATAAATAAAAATAAAATAGTTTATTAGACTTACAGAAAATTATGAAGATACTATATAGAGGTCCTGTGTACTTCTTACCCAGTTTCCCTTATTACTAACATTTTTCATTAGTATGCTACCTTTGCAACAAATGAAACAATATTGGCTTTATTATTAACTGAAGTTCATACTTTACCCAAATTTCCCCAGTTTTGAACTAGTGACGTTTTTCTGTTCCACAATCCTGTCCAGGAGATCACTTTGCATTTAGCTTTCTATCTCCTTAGTCTCTTCTCAACTGTGAAGGTTTCTCAAGCTTTCCTTATTTTTGATGACCTTGACAGTTTTCAAGAATACTGTTGAGTGCTTTGTAGAATATCCCTCGATGGGTTTTTCTTGATTAGACTGGGATTATGGTCTTTTGGAGGAGGACTACGAAGGTAAAGTGTCACTTTCTTCACACCGTATCAAGGGTACATGCTCTCAATATGTAATGTTTGTAGTAGTTCTCTAAGGAAAAATTACATTTACTTCTTTTCCCCTCCAACATTGTACCCTTTGGAAGGAAGCCACCATGTGCAGCCCATGCTTAAGGAATGAGGAGTTGAGTTCCACCTCCTTGAGAGTAGAGTATCTACAGAAATTATTTGGAGTTTTTCTGTACAGAAAATTTGCCTATTCCCCACCCCATCGATACATTTAATCATTTATTTAGTCAGTATATACTTGGGTGTATTTATTTGATACTTTGGATGATAACTGAATGCTACTTTATTTCATTGCTCAAACTGTTCCATCTTTGTCTATTGGTGCTCTCTTTCAGCTGATTGTCATAGCCCTTTGGAATATCCCCATCTTTGTGTTTTGGTTTTTAGTACTTTCTTACTTTCTGGCAAGATAAATGGCTCCAGTCTCAATTTGTGTACTTCCTGTTCCAAACCTAAAGGGATCTGTGGTCCCTTTTATTGGAAGTTGGTATTAGAATCCAAAGTCTGGGTACCATGGTGTGCTGGCTACTATTGAGATGCCATTGTTGACAGAGCAAGAAAACACCTATGTGTGTATACTAACCAGTGTATACACATATGTCTATATGTAACCATCTATTCCTCTATTAAGGTAAATGTTGAGCTCATAATGTCTTCAATTATATTTCATTACAACATGAATCATTATTTTTCTAAAAATTTTATTTACTTGAAAGGCAGAGAATCAGATACACAAAGAAAGAGGTTCTATTCATCTATTCATGCCCTAAATGCCTGTACCATTGGGGCTAGACAAGGCCAAAGCCAAGAGCCAGAACTCAATCCAGGTTTTCTACATGGTGGTGGGAACTCAAGTAGCTGAGCCATCACCTGTTGTCTCCCAGGGTACACGTGAGCAGGAAGCTGCAGTGGAGAGTGGAGCTAGGACTTGAACCTAAAGGCCTCCCATATGGGATGCTGATATCACAAGCAGCACTTTAACCCCTGCACTAAACACCTGCCCCCAGCATAAATCATCATTGTCTCTTTCCTTTGCTTATGTATCATTTCCCATTCCAACCGTGAGAAACCTGGCATTCACCATTTTCCATCTACTAGCTTATCTTTTCATTTCCAGTTTATGTATAAAAATGTGAAAATTGGCCGGTGTTGTGGCTCACTAGGCTAATCCTCCGCCTTGCGGCGCCGGCACACCGGGTTCTAGTCCCGGTCAGGGCGCCGGATTCTGTCCCGGTTGCCCCTCTTCCAGGCCAGCTCTCTGCTGTGGCCCGGGAATGCAGTGGAGGATGGCCCAAGTACTTGGGCCCTGCACCCCATGGGAGACCAGGAGAAGCACCTGGCTCCTGGCTTCGGATCAGCGCGGTGCGCCGGCTGCAGCGTGCCAGCCGCGGCAGCCATTGGAGGCTGAACCAACGGCAAAGGAAGACCTTTCTCTCTGTCTCTCTCTCTCACTGTCCACTCTGCCTGTCAAAAAATAAAAAAAATTGTGAAAATTGTTAGATGTACCCTTGAGGAATATAACCCTGTCAGCTGGGATGGCACGTATGCTGGTTCTCTTCCTTTTCATTTTGCAGACTCTACTCATTTCCAAAATTACTGTTTAGAACCTTCCCCTCCCATTTCTTCTGTTGAGATTGCTTCATATATTTGTAGCAGATTCTTCTGTTGCATTTGGCTTTCTTTCCTGGGGATTTCCCTGTTCTCCCCATTTTTCTTTAAATTCAAGTCCATTAAGGTTAATTGTTTGTGCTGTAAATTCTATGGGTTTTGACAAATGCATAGTGTCCTATATGCACCATTACAGCATCAAACAAAATTGTTTCACTGCTCTAAGAATATCTCTTGTGCCTCACCTATTAAACTCTTCCCCTCGCCACCCTGAACTTCTGGCAACCACTGCTCTGTTACCATCTCTATATAGTTGTTCCTTTCCCACAATACATGTAACTGAAACAGCACAGTGCATAGACTCTTCACACTGGCTTCGTTCACTAGAAATGGCATATAAGATGTGTCTGTCTTTTTGTAGCTTGATAGTTCACTCTTTTTTATTGATGAGTAATATTCCATTATACAAATGTACCATAGTTTTCTTATCCATTCACTGACTGAAATACATCTTGTTTTTTTTCCCCAGCTTTTGGCATTATGAATAAATCTACTATAAACATTTGCATGCAGGTTTTTCAAATCAATTGGGTAAATAACTAGCTTGGAGCATGATGTACTCTTGCTAGCTCATGTCTAAGACTAGACTGTATTCAGTTTTGTAAGAAATTGCCAAATTATATTTCAAAGTGGCTGTGCCATTTTGCATCCCCATCAGCAACTCTTGCCAGTGATCCTGTTACCAGTTTTTTTTTTTTATTATTATTATAGCTATTCTGAAAGGCCAGTGACAGCATCTCATTGTTTTAATTTGTAACCCCCTAATGACAGCTGGTGATAAGCATCTTTTCATATGCTTATTTGCCATCTGTATGTCTCCTTTAGTGTGGTGTCTGTTCAGATGTTCTGCTTATTTTTAAATTCAGTTTTCTCTTTTCTTACTATTGAGTTTTACTTTCCCTTATTTCAGAAGAAAGTAAACAAAAAATAAAAGTGGTTGAGAAGAGGTGCATTTAAAAATAATTAAGGATTATGTAATCTATATATGTAATATATAACATATATTATATGTATGTATATTGTTTCATAATCATGTAAGCAAGGCATGATAGAAGAGTCAGCTCAGCATTAACTTGAGGCAGTGAAACTGGAGACACACACAGTTTATTGAAATTATCCTTCATCAGTCAACTCATTTAATTTTCACTACAGCTCTATTGATGGAAACTCTTTCTTCCCCACTTCAAAAATGAGGAAACCTTGCTCTCCTTCAATGCAAGAATTCTAAATCCCTGTGCCATGCTGTCTGATGGACAATACATTTTATAATGGCATTTTCCCCATGAACACTTATTTTATTTACCTGAAAGACAGAGAGGAGAGAGGAGAAAGAGAGAGAGAGAAAGAGAGAGAAATGAATCTATCTCTTGGTTTGCTCCCAAATGCTGGCAGTAGCTGGAGCTGGACTAGGCTGAAGCCAGGAGCTGGGAACTTAATCTGGGTCTCCTACATGAGTAACAAGGATCCAAATATTTGAGCCCTCACCTGCTGCCTCCCAGCAGCAGAGGGGTGTGTGTGTGTGTGTGTGTGTGTGTGTGTGTGTCAATAAGAACCTAGAACTGTGAGCAGATACTGGACTTGAACCCAGGTACTTCAACATGAGATACAGGCATACAGATTATGGAAATATTGCATCTTTTTGAATTATCTAAACTGCTACAAGCCTCATATTTTGCATTTGCACAAGAGCACATTGAGGTGATCGCGTAGTATTTCAATATAAATTTATCTCACATTGTTTTTCATATTCACTTTCTTGAAAGCTAGCAAAATATGATACAATAATCAAATAGGCTACTTTTCCCAGCTCATATGACTCCAGAAAAAGAATTTCCAGGAGTGATTGGCTTTGGTTTTTGATAGGTAATTACAAGAAGCATTCCCACTGACAGTTGGAATCATGACCAGACTGGGTCTTGAAAGCCACAGCAGTGCAGTTGCAGCTGGTGACTGGCTTGCTGGCTGGCAAGGCGCCTACGGCATAGGACTGGATGTTCCACCATGGCTGGGCGCTCCTCCAGGGAGCTGTCAGTCGCTGGGTTCCCACCGTGCCAAGCACCAGACAGGTGCAGAAAGGTTCAAGGTTTCTGTTCCCCATTAGAGTTGAGGGCATGCTGGCCGCCTGACATGAGGGGCCTGAGGAGCAGAGTTCCTGCTTTGCTCTGGGTGGGGTTCTGCACTGACATGGTCTTGAGAACACGCTGTTATTCCTCACCTGCTGGAGGCTGGCCTGACATGAGTGGTGAGTTTGCAGGGGGCGTTTAGAGAAACAGAGGACTGAGTCACTTCCATTTGTAAGGCTTCTTGTATGTTTTTTAAGGGAAAAAAAAAAGAGTCCTAAAAATTGTGTTTTATTTTACATTTCAAAGAAATTAATGCTCTTAGATCAAAACATGAGATGCAGTAGAACTGCAGCACTTACAGAAGATGCATAAAGCACATATGTTTATAAGAATATTCATTCCCAGTGAACGAGCTGGGGAGAAACATTGAAAGTAACTGATGGAGGTGCTTTCCTTCTACGTCCAATAGGGCATCTTTGTCACCGTGTAGCATGGTTCTGAGATTTTGTTTTCAGTCCTAAAACCAGGAGTGGGAGAAGAATTCAGACCTAGGGTGGAGAAGAAAGAAAGGAAACGTAGAAGTTACCTTAGATTTTGCAAGCCTATGGAGAATCTGGAATAAATGAAAGAGACAACAATGCTGATTATTTTCTTTGGGAGAGGGTAACTAACACTTTGCTTTGCTACAGTTTTAGTCAAATTTAGATCTGAGAAGCCCAGTGGGAGCTGCGGCAGAACTGTTTATTGTGTCTCCTGCTTGGCACAGAGCTGGAACACGTTAGCCATTCCAGAAAACATTTCTGGAAGGGAGTCAGAAAGTCACCTTATTTCCCAGGATACATTTCTTGTCTTTGTTTTGAGAAACAATATTTAAAAGTTTAGCAATTTATGACATAAGCTGATAACATACATCTTTGCACTTTTTTCAGTGCTTATGCAAACATGTAGTTTATGCAACCTGTATATCTCCTCTCACCTACTTGTTGGGGTATAAATAAGGTCACAGGTCTCTCTCTCTTTTACTTTTTAATATTGAAGTTAGTAGGAAATTCAGAAACTCTTTTTAAGGACTTCCTCTACCCCAAGTTGTCCAAGAAATTTGGGGTTTTCTATGTCCAGGGGTGTAATTCCTGTTTCCAAACACCAGTGAAAGGGAGTATATGGAAGACTTGGCCAGTCTGCTGTCACATGCCACACCCCATTTTCTGCTGCAGAGCCCTTGTCACCACAGCAGTGTGTCATTGATGAAAATAGGCCTCCCACAGAGTCAGATGCTTCCATTATCACCCTGTGGAAACAGATCCTTGCTCAGGTTACCGCAGTTCCTAGAGGAAGATCTCTCTATCTCATTCTCTCAGCCTCGGTCGGTCTCACTCAAGACTACATTTTCCTTGGATTTCCAGAGTTGCTATAGCAGTTTCCAAAGTTCCTCCAGTACCTTATGGGTAAAAGCAAGTTCCAGTTTCAGCTGCGAAGTCAAGAACAACCCATCTGACATCATGCAGTAGGCGTTGGCAGAAATCTTTCCTCTCATGGTTGTCCTTGGGTGTCCTTAGTGTGTCTATTTGAGTGCTCCAACAAGAGTCATCTCAATGCTTCACGTTGATTCTAAGCACATGGAACCTCCCAGGCAGTGGAAGACGTAGTCTCTGTCTCTTGTTCTTTCCTCTCCTCCTGGATAGCCACTGACTTTCCTTTGCTCTAGTGAAGATGGTCTACTTGATGAATTCAGAAGAACAGAAAATTCTCCTCTGTGGTAAGTCCCTATCTTCACCTAAACAGAGAAGCAAGAAGACAAGTTGTAAAAGGCAGCTCCCCTTAGTCAAACAAGCAAAGCTGTTCAATGTAGTCTAATTACACATACAGCACTGGGATTAAGTGCTCTGCTCTGGAACCAGATCACTGGATTTCAAGAAAAATTTTGCAGCTTTCCTTGAATGTGGCATGACTTTTATCCTTCTGTACCTCAGTTTCTCCATCTGTAAAATGGGATGCAGAAAATAATGAAATACATCAACTTCACAGGGATTTTCCTGAGATATTTAGTTTACACAGCAAACAAATATACACAACATATAATTTTTTTTCTTGCAAAGACAGGATCATGCTAAACTTAATTTGCTCTTAGTAAACAATTATGTCTGTGTTTTTAGTAAAACTATGTAATGGTCAGACTTATTTAGATGAAAACATGTTACAAGTTTATCAATTTCAGCTTACTTCATTAGCATACTTTGTCCCAAAAATCATTGAAGTGGTATTCACAGATTTCTTTGAAGATAATTTGTATACATGTGAAGAAGTGTTCCAAAGTGTTTTGTCATTGTCTCATCAGCGTTGCCTCTCAGCAGTTTTGCAGTGAGGAGATTCTGGTCACCCTGCAAAGACACAGGGATGCATGCCGTGGAGGCCATGGAGCCATAGTCACTGAGCCAGGAATGGGCTGTCCTTTTGACCTTGCGAATTAATCACCAGAGTTGCACTAATCACATTGAACTTGAAGATCCACACATGGCAAGGTTAGTGCCCTAAAACAAGATCTCAAAGAGCCTGTCTAGGCAGGGTAAGTTAAAGCAGATCAGAAAGGAGACCTTGAGCCTATGAATTTTCAAATTCTAATTTCCTGTGTGAAAAAGCCGTCCTTGAGTAACTGGCTTCATGTCCTTTCCTTGTTTGTTTTCTCATGGATTGGTATAATAAATGACCATAAAATGAGTGCTTTTGAAAAAATTATAGCTGAAAATACTGTTCGTGATGTCATCCAGTGATAATTCAGTCTTTGGATGGCAGACTTTTCCGTGAGTAGGGTGGAGGGAGGATAGTTTTTCTTTCCAGGTGAACTTGCATATTAACTTCTACTAGATATCAGACTATGAGAATAATACAACATCCAGTAAAATTTCCCATGTAGTCTCTTCTTATTCTGTATTACAAATGCCATATGTTAAGTGTTTTTATTACATGTTTTCTATTTAAAGGGAAATAGTTAGAAATGAGTAAATAATCCACTGTTCTACTTGCTGTACACTACTCTTTCTAAATGTACCTCTTCCATAAAGCATTTATGTAAATTAACATAGAACTCATCTGAGAACACAAATCACCCTTTTCCTCTTAGAGTTCCAATTTACAAAACTATTACTCTAATTCTATACATAGCATCTGGCTTTCAGCATGATATCACTATGAAAATTTAATCTGGTGTTATGAATCCTCTAAGAAAACTTCACTAGAAAACAGAGAACATGAAAAAGAGAACTGATATAAATAATGAAACATTTCATAAACGACAGTGTTAGGAAATCTCAGAAGATTTGTTAGCTTTCTGTATGAGTACTTATGACAAAGTTATATTCCAAATGGTACTCAAAATTGTTCCAGTTCTTTAGTGGTATTAATAAGCTTCCATTTTGTACAGCGTTTTTAAGGAACTAGCTACTTTTAAGTTACAGATGACCCATTAGGGCGCCAAATTTCATCTGGACACTGTTACAAATACTACTGCTGATGAGCTTAGCATTAGAGGAACCAGGGCTGCTGTTGTCATGTAGCTGTGGTTGCTGGCTGTGATATCAGCATCCCATGTGGGCACTGGTTTGTGTCCCAGCTGCTCCCCTTCTGATCCACCTCCCTGCTAATGGCCTGGGGAAAGCAGTGGAACATGGTTCAAGTGCTTGGGACCTTGCCACTCATGTGGGAGACCTGGATGAACCTCTGAGCTCCTGGCTTCTGACTGGCCTGGTGCTGGCCATTGTGGCCATCTGGGGAGTGAAGCGGCAGATGGAAAATCTTTTTCTGTCTGTCCCTCTGTCTAAGGCTGACTTTCAAAATAAATAAATAAATCTTTTTAAAAAATTCGAGGAACCAAAACACAGAGCTTTCAGATGTCATTTCAGTGTGAAGGAAATGAGGACATTTCCACCATATAAAAAGTTTTGCCTTTAAAAGTGAATTATCTTACAGTGGCAAGGGCACTGCTTTACCTTCTTTTCATCTGGTTCAAATACAAGGGTACTTAAAAAAGTTCATGGAAAATGGAATTAAAATATGAGTTTATTTTGGTATAGATCACCTTGAAGTGCATGCATAGTTTCTTCATAGTAGGAATATCCCATGTATTTTTTTAAAATATCTTTTTTGGATAAAATAAACTCAGGAGGGCTGGAATTGTGGCACAGCAGGTTAAGCTGCTAATTGCAATGCCAGAATCCTGTATCTGAGCACCAGTTGGAGTACCAACTACTCCACTTTCAACCCAGCTAAAGGGCCTGAGAAAGCAGCAGGAGACAGGAAAAATAGTTGGGCCCCTGCACCCCTGTGGGAGACCTAGATGGAGTTCCTGGCTCCTGGCTTTGGCCTGGTCCTGACCTGGCTGTTGAGTCCATTTGTGGAAAGAATCACTGGATGCAAAATATCTCTGTTTTGCTCTTGCTCTCCCTCTGTCTCTCCCTCTATTTCTGCCACTCTGCCATTCAAATAAATAAATAAATATTTTAAGAAGATAAACTCAGACTTTTAATTCCATTTTCCCATGAGCACTTCCATGTACCCTTTACAAGCAAATAACTTCAAAGGGAATGAGAGAATTAAATGTTCCTGAGAGTTCTGACAGTTTTTAGGGAATTCAGATTTCTGTAGCATTCAATTTTGCAATGCTGCACTAGTTTCTGATTTATAATCAGTGATATGTAATGGTAATTTCTGCTATTCTTTTAATATGATTTGGCTCCCCAACTCATGCATACATTTAAACCCCATGTCTTATGTTAATGGTACTAGGAGGGTGAGAACTTAATCCAGTTAGTGTCTGGGGGTGCAACTTTTGGGAAATTACTGGATTAGATTAGGTTGCTAAGGTAGGGCCCTGCGATGGAATCATGATTGCTTTCCAAGGAGGAACACATGGATGAGGGTGTGTCCTGTGTCTTTGTGTGCTGGCTCCAAATAGGATCTTCCTTCTGCATAAGTCCTGCCATTCATTGCCAACCTCCACCCTCATCAGGCAGCAGACCAATGAGGCTGCCTGACCTTGGATTGTGACTCTCCAAAACTCTAAGCAAGAATAAACCTTCCTTTGTAAGTGACTTCTCTCAGGTGTTTTAGTTGTGGTGACTAAAAGCTGACTAATACATTTTTTTTTTAAAAAAGACTCATTTATTTATTTGAAAGAGAAAACTCTTCCATCTGCTGGTTCCCAAATGGGAACAACAAATGAGCACAACACCCAGGGCTGGGCCAGGCCACAACTAGGAGCCGAGGACTTCCATGTGTGTGGCAGGAGCCTAAGTACTTGAGCCATCATCTGCTGCTTCCCAGGTACATTAACAGGGAGCAGGATCAGAAGTGGAGCAGCTGGAACTTGAACCAGTACACCCATATGGGATACAGGCATTGTAAGTGGTGGCTTAACACACTGTGCCATGACACGGCCTAATACAATTTCTACCATTTACTGAACACTTAATAGGTTCCAAGTTTGTTTATGTACAACATTTAGTTCATTCAATGGTTCTCAACTAGTGGTAACTTTTCACCCTGCTCCCTTCCCCCAGTATATCTGGCTATCTTGGGAGTCAGTTTTGGTTACCTGGGGAACAGAGGAGTTGTCCTACTAGCACCTGGTGGGTGGAAGCTAGGGAAGCTGCTGATCATCCTACAATACAAGGCCAGCCCCCAACAACAAAGAATTATTACCAACCCTAAATTTCCACAGTACTGACACAGAGAGACTCTGATTTAACCCATTCAACAATCCTGTGAGGTGGAAACTATTAATCTCATTTTCAGCATTATGGCATAGCAGGTTAAACTGCTGCTTACAATGCCAGCATCCCTTCTAAGTGCCAACAGTGTTATGGTATAACTAGGCATGTAGGTAAAGTTTAAGCAAGCTGGAATTCTTGTACCCCTGCAATGTAACCCTATCTCTTTAACTGTCAATTTGATATGCCCACCTTCTCAGGATGCATGCTAAGTCTCTACTCCATTTACATATCCAATTAGGCTACCACTCCCTTCCATATAAAATGAAGTGGAAGGTGGGAGAGAGCTCTCTTGCTGCCAGACCTCGCTTAGAGGTGCTGCTGTAGTTGGAGCTTTTTTCTACTGAAATCTGGTCTCTGTTGGACCTCTCCCACTCTCTGGCAGACCTTCCCAATTATAGGTGCCATTTTCAGTTTCTCTTTTCTCTCTAGCCTATGGGAAATTCTTTGGCCCACTCATATTGGGGTATTTCTCAGTGTAGGGCAGCCCACACTCGTGCATGTGGATGTATGGTTATTCCCTGACTGCCAAATAAACTCTGTTCTTATTTGCAAAAGATTCCAGTCTTGGCTTAATATTTCTATCTCTGTGGGACACAGGAACCTGGATTTTAAAAAAATGATATATTCATTACCCACATCAGTTTGAATCTCAGCTGCTCTGCTTCTGACCCAGCTCCTTGATAATATGCCTGTGAAAGCAGCAGACGATGGCTCACCTGCTTGGGCCCTGCCACCCACGTGAGAGACCTGAAGGAGTTCCTGGATCCTGGCTTCAATCTGACCTAGCCCCAGCCATTTGGGCCATTTGAGGTGTGAATCAGCGGCAGATGGAAGATCTCTCTCTCTCTCTCTCTCTCTCTCCCTCCCCCACCCTCTCTCTCCACTCTGCCTTTCAAATGAATAAAATAAATCCTTTTAAAAAAAACCCTCATTTTCCTGAAAAGAAAAAGGAGACAAAAAAAGCTAAATAATTTAAATAGGATCACTCAGCTAAGTAAGAGATGGTGTCAGGACTGCAAACCTATGTCATTATTGCCTTTAAGCCCAGGCTGTTTCCCCTATGTCTGCTACCATCTTCTGTGAACTTTGATGACCACAAGTAGGTTTTGAGCTTTGTAGGGCAGAGGTACCTCTTTATTCTGTATCTGCCTCAGCATCAAGCTCTTGCTTGCTGAAAGAAGAATATTAACCATTCATCCGCTGGATATCTTCTGATTTCTTCTTTAAGATGATATTTCAACAATTAGGTCAGTAACCCCAAGAGAAAATGGTCGCTGGATTGTTTTATTACTAAGTAAGGAATGTCAGAAGGAAAACAGAAGACACAATTCCTGTCTCCAAAGAGGTTGTGGGGAAGAAGAGTTGTCTATATGTATATAAATAGAGGTTTATATGCCTGTGTGTTTATAAACAGATTTGCCAGACCAAATGTCCTGTTGCAAACAGTAAAAGTCAACAATAATCAATAATAATCAACATGTACCAGGACACCTCCTTGTGGTCCTGAAACACGTTGTAAGACTGTAACCTGTGTTTGCATACTAGTACATCACTGGCACACTGTGGCAGAGCTGTGGCCACTCCTATCCTCCTAGCTTAGAGAAACTGACAAACACAATCAGCCTATGAGCGTGAAGCCAATGTCTTGCCTTCTGTCTTGTAATGAGCTTTGGTTTACTAGGGAGGTGACGTGTTCTTTCCTCTCTTTATTTTGCCAGTTTTTAGTGCACACATGATTTCTACTCATCTATCAC